CTCACTTAAACTATGAATACACGTAACTACGTAATGCGACATCGGAGATCAGTCAGGTAGGGCACGTTTCACAATGTTTGTTTGTTTGTTTGTTGTTAAACGCCGCACTCAGCAATATTCCAGCTACATGACGGCGGACTGGACATAATCGAGACTGGACCAGACAATCCAGTGATTGGCAGCATCATGAGCATCGATCCACACAATTGGCATACGATGACATGCATCAACCAAGTCGGCGAGTCTGACCGCCCGATCCCGTTAGTCGCCGTTTACGGCAAGCATCGGTTGCTGAAGACCTATTCTACCCCGGATCTCCACGGGTCGGTTCACAAGGTACCTGTCCTGTCTCTGTGTGATGACCCAGGGACGACCTGGTCCTCGAGCAGTGACAACTGTTCTAGTGGCCTTGTACTGCTGTCACATCCCCCAATCATACGTGCAGCTACTGGCAACTGTTCTGGTGGCCTTGTACTGCTGTCACATCCCCCCAGTCATACGTGCAGCTACTGGCAACTGTTCTAGTGGCCTTGTACTGCTGTCACATCCCCTCAATCATACGTGCAGCTACTGGCAACTGTTCTAGTGGCCTTGTACTGCTGTCACATCCCCCCAATCATACGTGCAGCTACTGGCAACTGTTCTAGTGGCCTTGTACTGCTGTCACATCCCCCCAGTCATACGTGCAGCTACTGGCAACTGTTCTAGTGGCCTTGTACTGCTGTCACATCCCCCCAATCATACGTGCAGCTACTGGCAACTGTTCTAGTGGCCTTGTACTGCTGTCACATCCCCCCAATCATACGTGCAGCTACTGGCAACTGTTCTAGTGGCCTTGTACTGCTGTCACATCCCCCCAATCATACGTGCAGCTACTGGCAACTGGTAATGGAGCTTTACGATTTTGTGGACATGAACTCAATGCTTCAATTTGTGAAAATTTGGTGTCCGTTCAGAACCGGAGTAAAATGGTCTTCAGCAACCCATGCTTGCCGTAAAAGGCGACTATGCTTGTCATAAGATGCGACTAACGGGATCGGGTGGTCAGGCTCGCTGAATTGGTTGATGCGTGTCATCGTATCCCAATTGTGTGATGCTCGAGATGTCAATCACTGGAATGTCTGGCCCAGGCTCGATTATTTACAGACAGCCGCCATATAGCTTGAATATTGCTGAATGCGGCGTTAAACAACAAACAAACAAACATGAGAATTTGTCCAGTGTTTACAAGCTTCTGCATTACCTTCCATGGTTAAAATATTGATTTCATTGATAGAGCCGCAAACAATCATATTAATGTGGTCTTTAACAACTGGGGCTTATCATTAGTTCCATGTTTGAAGAGGAGACCTTGACGTGTATCTACAATTTTCATTTTAAAACTGTTTTAAAGAAATTTTAGTGCACGTTATGTCATTCTCTTTTCATTACAGAACACAATGTTTACCGACAGTCGACCACGCCAAGTCATTCACTGTTACGTTTGCGATGGTTATTCGGAGCTCATCTCATCGAAATTATGTATGGAATTTCCATAGAGATTGTATCCTGGTAGTGCGTGGAACAGGAACGTCTGTGAGCCGTCCATCATGGCAGCTGGCACCAGGGGGTCGACACCGGGTGTCAGGGTGAGGTCACGTGGTGGTAGAATAGCTTCAGTACACCCTATCACTGAGAACATCAATATGTCAAATCTTCATGGATGAGGTGAAAGTGAAGACGCAGGTCATCCCAATCTCATTCAGGGTCAAGGACAGATGCATGCGAATGTGTAATATGTCAGAATCATTTGTATTGGTGTCCTTATCAGATGCTCGTTCACGGTATGTGTGTGGATTGAGCGGAGACACTCTCACTGCTGCAGCTGCTGCCCAGGTCGGTCAATACATCCAATGTACAACTCCTGCGTGTGTTGGTATAGCTGTGCATGGATTTCGTGCTTTTTACAAACATCCACAAAGTACACACAACATACTGTCCTCGACGATGTTTGAAAACGACAAGTGAAGCAAACATTATAGTGAGTGAATGAGTGAGTGAGTTGGGTTTAACGCCGCTTTAAACGGTATTCCAGTTATATCATGGCATGTCAGCTAAATGTGGGAGGAAAGCCCGAAGTGATGCAGGTCTCAGACGTTAACCACTTCGGTGAAACCCACGAGCACGGGTATAGTGCCTTACAACCTAGAAACATAATCGGGGTGAACCGGGATTCAAACCGACAATCATAGGTTTCTGGCGTGTCCAAGGGACGCAACTCTGCACTTTGTAGCATTTTGTATCATTGTTAACCAATGTACAACATGGTTACCTTTGTGTATCATGTGTATCATTGTGTATCATATGTATCACAGTGTATCATTGTTTATCATGCGTTTCACAGTGTAACATTCTGTATATGTACAACTGTATACAACTATATTTTTGTGTACAACTGAATATATAACACTGTGTACAACTGGGTAACAATGTGTATCATTTATAGTTTTGTGTTGCACTGAGCCGCAGCGTGTCTGTCGCATGGTGTAGGTAGCACCGAATCATTCAGAATGATTCTATATCTAATGTATCATTATGTATCAATGTGTATCAGTGTGTATCCTTGGGTGAGTTGGAAAACAGCTCAAGTGGAAAATGGAACTTAAACGACAGGTTATTTTTAGATAAACGCGCTGCGCAGCATACTATCGCTGTATGGGATGTATGAATATCACCCAGCTCGACATTATGAGTGGCAATAAAACAGCTTCTCTGAGTTATGAATATTTGTAACTGATGCGGACTGTTTTCTTCATGCTGTGTCATTTGCATACTAAACCAGAAACAATCCTCATTCAGATTCAGTTACATTTACACACATAATTATCGCTGTTTTCATTTCGCAACAATTAAACACGTGACAATAATATCCAAACCCTCTGACATTATCGCGTTACACCATAGTTGTCGGCCTAAGCAGGTCAAGCACCTCTAACCAACGCCCATCTGACATATACATGTGCATATATCAAAGGCAGCCATAACGTAAGATTACTTCGTCGGCATTTCGTATGAATTAATGTAACCGTTCTTGCAATAAGTAATAAATATGCGAGGACGCAAAAAAGAACGGCCATGGAAAAGGCGTGTACATCGACATAAACGTATCGTTCAATGCATTGGTATACACAAACTATCTATGTTTCTATGCTCGCGTTGTTATTGCAATATTGAGATCAATAGACGCGCAGTAGTGCAGCGTATTTACATTGGGAGTTTCATTCACGATGTAGGCATCAATATCCCGGGATGCCTAGCTCCGCTGTAGGCGACAAGTGTCGCCAAATGCCATGTTCAAAGGAACGGTAATGTGTGTCAACAGCGAGGTGTCGGTTTCTCATATACCCAGTTCAATAAATCGGTTTTGTTAGGTGGGACACATTAGCGTTATAAGAGCAGCGGCTTACCTATGAAATACACTGTATATTGCTGCCAAAAGAGACATTTAAACTGTTCGGATCATGGTAGAAGCCATATAAATGGCTTTAGCAGTAGGTTGGATTTAACGCCGCTTTCAACACTATTCCAATCACCGCGTGTAAGCTTAACGTGGGAGGAAAGCTCAAAATTATGCGATTATAAAAGGTTACAATACGTCAAAACATTCATACAATGAAACCCATAATGCTGACAGAGAGAATCTGGGTTCGATCCTACCGTCAGCGGATCCTGCTGCTCGTCAACAATTCGGTTAGGAAACATCGTATTGTAACTAACACCTCTAGTGATTATTAAGATATATATTTAATTATTTGAATAGATAATGATAGGACACAGTAACTAGCATCACGTGTGTTGCCTCTTCCTTGAGGGTGTTACTTCATCACACAGACCTAGAAACAAACACATCCAATATCCCCCAAGTAAGCCTTCTATACTTTGGCAAAGTTCAGAGATCTTCAGTGCTGAGTCTATCCGAGTTACTTTCTGTTATACATTAGAGAAAATCTAACACGAACACAAATCGAAATACACGAATCTTAGAGACAAAGACTTCAACCCCCCATCACTGAATGTCAGTACGTAACGTCAACAGTCCGGGCGGAAACGCTTCGGTCCTGATACTTGAATTACAAGCACTCCTTTCACCCTCGGAATTTTACAAATTGAGTAATTAGTTAAATAAGAAAAGGAATGCTTTCTGTGAGATGAGATGGTTCTCACGCCTTTACAACTAAGGCCATATGTTTTGGGGATATTCTGTCGATGACCCTTCTTGGGGTCGACGAGGGCATACCTCGTGTGTTCACCATACTAGAATGTGCCGAGCCCCATCGGGATAGGTAATCTTGCTACAATTGAAAGTCTGCAACAAACCAACAGGACTTCCATTTAATAATATTCCGGGAAGTGACATTAATGTGAACAAAGCAATAACGAATAAATATTAAGGTTTCAGCTGTGTCCAGCTGATTGTGCGAAATAAGCTATCCGAATTCCTATTTGTATGTTGTCAAAAAGAACGTCATGGATATGAAATATGATGTATTTTCTCAGAATCATTCCCAGTCTAGTTCATTATTTATGTAAATACATATATGGGAATAGATAAAAAATATAGTTCATATATATCCACAGCTAGGTCTCATGAGAAAGTCTACCTGTTGGGACTTAACTCTAGACGTTCACAGCCGATCGAGGCAGCCTCAACAGCAGACAAGCAATGCTTGCAATCTGACAGTCAATTTTCGATTGTTTTAAGATTATTCAAATCGTCGTCCCACGGCCCAGTTCTAGTTAACAAATTGCGTGTCTTTGTGTAGAGGAGCTCTATTGCCTTATGAATGAAACCGCGTGTCGACGCGAGGCGTCTGATACTAGTGATAGTTACGACCAAACATGCGCTGAAAGTGAAATAGGTTGGATCCAGTGCGTAGTGCAGACACGACGGGTAGCTGGAATACATGGACATTGACATGAACACAAACTAGTGATGACAGTTATCAACACTCATCTCTTACCTGTAATTGTCTCCGATATGAACGAAATGAGAAGAAGTACATCCACGCGGTACTCCATGTCTGAAATTGACATTCACAGAATATAGCACCATAAAGGTTCCATACCAGAGTCACAGCTGATCCAGCACGTGTACATTTCACAAACAACCCCTATAGTACGTGGTTTCCAAGTTGGATCGCCCCATGTCAATTGCACGCCGCTCGCCTGTCTATTTCACGTGCACCGCCGACTCGGCTGATATCGCTTTAGTAATCTATCGGTGTTTTCCTTCTTTCTGCGGGCCGGTATCCACTTAATGCCTACAGTGATTAAGTCAATTTTCCACTGCGGTAATTTCCTTGAGATTTCGCGAGTTCTGTAATATCCATAAGCGATAACACCACGTGGTCAAACATACAAACACCCATTTCACGGCGAGCACAGCTAACTGGTGTCTGAACTCCGTCAATAGACTATCACAAATGACTTGAATAGAGCGTTCGCATCGCAGGGGACGGGATTGGCAGCGTACACTGAGAAGCTCAGCGATAACTGTGTCGCTTCGCGTTTCTCACCAATGCTAAGCGGATAGTGTTTATTGTGGGAGATGACATTCTTGGAGGGCTGGCACAAACCCTCCTACAGAAAACAAAGTCTTCTTAACTAAAGAACCAGAACCGCGAGCGAACACGTGTCTGAGAGAAATTGATTAATCTGTTGAGGAGTTCAGAGCCAATCAGAAGCCGAACAAGTGAAATCGACCATACCGCATGCCACATGTATTCGTGTTGCGACACACGGAATGGCTAACTTAACGAAACACAGTAGGTTTAGTAGTCGAGATCGATGTTGAGTTGAACTTTTACGAAAGTTGATATAAGACGTGTGAAACATCGCCTTTTCTGCTTGATCCGCTGGCCTGTCATAGCCGACTACGCTGTCGTGTGATTTAACAGAATTGAATTTGAACTGAACACGCCGAAATCGAATCGCCATGGTAACTTGTTACATATGAATGGATGTCTGTACCCTGGTGATTGCTCATTCGACCACTCCTGCCTCCACGCTGTAACGGCTATTGTCAAATACCACTGCAGTGTACGAGCGGCTTAATGATTAATGTATTAGCCTATTAATGAAATATAAACGCAACAATAGGAGATCCCACACACGAGTGTATTTCTTTTCTCCCATTTAGCCACTTTACATTTGGGAACGTTACACAAAGACAGCATAACGTCTGTCGTGATTATGCATTTCCAAGAAGAATCTCGATAAAACAACGCTATTGAGCCTGCCGCCGTGTACCTGAAGTCGCCCGGCCCCCACGTTCAAACACGGGACGTCTTCAGTCGATATTTATATATACTTGATTTCGTTTAGACTAGCTGTGTTCCCCGCTGGATTCCAGCTTATTGACAAACATCTAAAATTCATTACCACACACAAATTTATATATTTCTTGTATGACAAAGCCAAAGATGTATTACGAGTGCGTACAGAGATAGTTAGACTTGTACAAGTCTCTAAGGCAATAGTTATTAGTTTAAATCATAATTTCTAGATTACGTAAATAATAATAACAAGTTGTCCCTATAAGTTGAAGACGTTGTGTTGTCGTGGGGACGTAGACGGTCGCAAAATGACACGCTCAGCGAAGAATCCACGCTTGCTGTAATACGACATGGATCATGGTGTCGCTCACATGGCCGTCGTTGTAACTACAACAAATCTTGGCGTTGCACGTCCCCAGCATATCGGTTCACACATTGTGTACTAGTGTTTAGTCCTGTTCTCCAAAGTGACGTATGTAACTGTTCCTGCTTTCCCCACCAGAGCACACCATCTGAGATGTCTGTGTGGACAGGATCCTTCTCATTACCGTAATACTATATATTTACGTTTCTCTGCCACGATGAAGGAATTATCATTCTGCATTTCGTCATCAACAAGGTTCAACTAGTAATATATTGTACAGTTGATACATTTCTTATTAAAGTAGTTGTTCAATTGCTTACCTTAATTAGCTGAATCTGACTTAGAGTGACTGAGTTGGGTGTACAGTGTACATGTGTAGTGAGATTAAGTTTGATAGTGAGTGAGTTGGGTGTACAGTGTACGTGTGTAGTGAGATTAAGTTTGATAGTGAGTGAGTTGGGTGTACAGTGTGCGTGTGTAGTGAGATTAAGTTTGATAGTGAGTGAGTTGGGTGTACAGTGTGCGTGTGTAGTGAGATTAAGTTTGATAGTGAGTGAGTTGGGTGTACAGTGTACGTGTGTAGTGAGATTAAGTTTGATAGTGAGTGTGCTTGTGTGTACAGTGTACGTGTGTAGTGAGATTAAGTTTGATAGTGAGTGAGTTGGGTGTACAGTGTACATGTGTAGTGAGATTAAGTTTGATAGTGAGTGAGTTGGGTGTACAGTTTACGTGTGTAGTGAGATTAAGTTTGATAGTGAGTGAGTTGGGTGTACAGTGTGCGTGTGTAGTGAGATTAAGTTTGATAGTGAGTGAGTTGGGTGTACAGTTTACGTGTGTAGTGAGATTAAGTTTGATAGTGAGTGAGTTGGGTGTACAGTTTACGTGTGTAGTGAGATTAAGTTTGATAGTGAGTGAGTTGGGTGTACAGTGTACGTGTGTAGTGAGATTAAGTTTGATAGTGAGTGAGTTGGGTGTACAATGTAGGTGTGTAGTGAGATTAAGTTTGATAGTGATTGACTGTTCATGTGTGTCAGATGAAGGTATATAGTGAGAAATTATGTTTGATAGCGAGCGAGTGTGCTTGTGTGTACGATGAAGGTGTGTGATGAAACACAATCAGCAAGGTCACACATTGTGTTGGGTGTGTGTGTGTTGGGCGTGTGTGTGTTGGGCGTGTGTGTGTTGGGTGTGTGTGTGTTGGGCGTGTGTGTGTTGGGCGCGGTGCTTGTGTGTATATAGGGAGTCTCGGGAGCGTATGTACAAGTGTGTGTCGGTGTGTGTGTGTGTTGGGGGGGGGGGGGGGGGGTCATTGTGTGTGTCAGAGAGAGAGAGAGAGAGAGAGTTGAGTGTGAGTGTTTGTATGTATATGGGGCCTGTGTGTGCATATAACATTGTGTGTGTTGACTGTTTATGTCTGTGTAGGGCGCATGTAAGTGTGTATAATGTGCCTATGCATGAAAAGCGTGAGTGTACATGTGTGTGCGTTCGCTGTGTGTCTATGTGTGTTACACACGTCTTCCGCTTCATCCCAGCTGCTGATGTCGCAGTCATCCCTACTACTCATAAACTATTAACCTTAACATTTCAACAACGCCCCACCACTATGAAAATAAGGTAGTTGACACATCAACGCAAATACTTCAGTTTCACCCCCGACATTTCCACGCCCGCAAAATAATAATGCTTTAAACCGGGAGAGCGCCATAAATGATGTAACTAAAGTGACACCTGTACAAGGTCGGGCAATCCGCCTCAATCTGGCGCTACTAAACTGTTGCGCCACATCCTTAGAACAGAACCCGCTCATGTGTGTGGTGACGTAACATGACTCTTGAAACTTTTATTGTTTATCCCGGATATAGAGAATAACTCATAAAATGACGTAAATGGTGAAAGTGTATACGTTAATATGCGTTGTTTCATCGCTTCAAAGGCATTGACGGCAGATTACCATAACGCCATTACCCACTTGAGTTTCCCACAGAAACAACGCGAACGTCTCGATAACACAATTATATGTCGTTAGTCATGAGCACAATACATATGACCGTCGTGACAAGTATCTACATACATAGCTGGATTACATGTCTGGTCAACCAGAACTAACACACTAACGAGGCGCTAATTGTTCAATTCTGATTTCTGACAATTGTCGGCCTGGCTTCTATCTCGGCTGCTATCTTGGCTGTGATTGCATCTAATGATAAACTGTATCAAATTACATGTGAATGTACATCGTTACATGTACATCGTTATTCCTGTACGATCTTGAAGACATAACCAAAGGAAACAGACCCCGTCCACATTGTTCGTTAATCCGGAACTTTGTTAATCCGAAAAAAATATTAATCCGGAACTTTGTTTTTCCGGACTTTTTGTTAATCCGGACTTTTGTTAATCCGGAACCTTGTTTATCCGGAATTTTGTTAATCCGGAACTTTATTAATCTGGACGATTGCACTGATCAAGCAGGGTTCGCTTTATTTAAGTGTTGTTCTGTGTAGTATCATGTTTGATGCTTAATAATCATCAATATCTGCCATGCCTCTAGAGAACATCCTCACAACGCTACCCTTACAACGGAAAGTTCCAATTTCTCCGTCATGTCACCTTAGACATAGAGGATAGTAATGTTCACTGTTCGTACCAAGTCTGTTAAGACACTGACGAATTGTTATTGAACAACTAGTTAAATAACCCAGAAATGCTGTAACAGGTCAACAAAATGAATCTTTAACTGACTGTTGACCATTCGAATGTAAATGAACAAGTTTTAAAACACAAGCGACAATGCCGTTTGATGTTTCTCGTGAGCTTGCAGCAATCACATACTATTCCCCTGGTTGGAATTTAACTGTTTTATTTGACTCAAATAAACACTGATGATGGAATGTCACGAACGAACTCGGTTATAACGAACACCTAGCTGTTACGGCGAAGACGGTCATAACGGACAGTCGTCACGAAGAAGTTGTTTAATAACACCTGCTGTGACGAAGTCAGTTATAACTAAGATCTGCTATTACGAAGTCGGTTATAACGAACATCTACTAAGATGAAGTCGGCTACAACGAATATCTGCTATCGGTTAGTCGGTTATACCGAACATCTAAGTATAATAAAGTCGGTTATAGCGTAATCTGGTTTGATGAAGTCGGTTATAACGGACACCTGTTATGGCGATGACGGTCATGACGGACAGTCGTCACGAAGAAGTTGTTATACAACGAATGCCTGCTATGACGAAGTCGGCTACAAACGAATATCTGCTATTACGAAGTCGGTTATACCGAACATCTATAATAAAGTCGGTTACAACGTACATCTGCTTTGACAAAGTCGGTTATAACGAACTTCTACTGTGGCGAGCACATGTAATCCATTGGCCCAGTGCTTGTTATAAAATATAATAAAAAGGAGGCAAGGAGCTTTCTTCATTTTCAGACACTGCAGTAAATTAGACTTGCCAAATATTAAAGACTTGCATGGGCTGTATTGGATATATTTGTTTCAGGATCTGTATGACAGACTACGGCAGCTGTAACTTTCTTCTGCAAACCTCACGCGTATGATTCCCTTTTTTTACAAGATGGCTCATTTACCAATTGAGAGTAATACATGTTGAATAGACCGCCTCCGTGGTCTAGTGGGTACAGTGTCTGCCCGGAGAGTGGAAGGTCGGTAGCTCAATCCATGTCCGCGTCAAACCAAAATACGTAAAAGGTGGTGCTTGTTGTTACCCTGCCTGGTGCAAGGCTTTAAGGTCATTAAAACAAGGACTGGTCGACACGGAATCAGTATACCGTGTCTGAGTGTGTTATCCATGTTAAACTGCGGCATGATATCTCAGTAGGCTAGCACTATAAAACCGGCATTAGTCCGGACTAGTACAAGCATACGCAGGCACGCACGTCACTATAGTCAATAGTCTTAATGTAGGCAATAGTCGACGTTAAACCCCATTTCTCCCCACCTCACATGTTCAATACAGATAT